CCGCTCGATACTTCCTCACAGTTTACCCCGAGACACCCTGGCCAGAGAGGCCCCCGAACTCAGGAACGGCGCTCTAGCCCGAGACTTCCTCGCAAATCAATTAAGTTGGCGGAAGCCCAGCCACGACGACAAGGGCTCCTGCTCGATAGTTCCTCACGAGTTACTCCGAAAGCCCCTGGCCAAGAAAGCCCCCGAACTCAGGAACGGCGCTCTCGCTCGAGACTTCCCCGTAATTCAGGCAAGTTGGTGGAGGCCCGGACACGGCGACAACGGCTACCGTTCGATATGTCTCCATAGGTATTCCGAGAGCCCCTGGCCAGAGAGGCCCCCGAACTCAGGAAAGGCGCTCTCGCTCAAGACTTCTTCGCACTTCAGTCAGTGGTTGACAAGGAAGACATTCCCCCCAAAAAAGGGTGCAATCGAAGACGAAGTGGGCGGGTATCAAGGGTTGGGGTATACGGAATGCAAGACACGCGTGCCAGTAAGAGCGAACAATCTTAAACTGATTGTCGTTGTTGTTGTTGTTGTTGTTGTTGTTGTTCTTGTTGCTGTTGTTGTTGTTGTTCTTCTTATTATTGTTGTTGTTGCTGGTCGGTTGTTATGTTTTTGTATCGTTCGGCTCTCGCAAAAATGGCCCATCATATTCGTCCACTGGCCGCGGCTCGCGGGCGCATGAAAAAACGACGGGCACGGAGCACCGTGCGAGAGGAGGGAGACATGGGGTTAGGAGAGGGGGAAGATGGACGGGGAGGGAGGAAGACCCAGACCCCCTCGAGTCATGAAAACATTATCAAGGAATGTTTCTCGCCGTTTTCGGCCTCTGGAGGCCCTCACCGGGCCTCGGGACCGTCAAAAAACTACTCAGGATGAGAAACCGGTCCAGGGGAATGGGTCGACCATTCCGGAGACCCCGTATTGGGGAGGGTGGAGATGGCGAGGGGGTGGGGGAAGGGGGGAGAAGAGAGAAGAGGGTGGGCGACAAGGAGGATGAGGGGGGGGAATGGGTGAGGAAAGGTAGGAGGAGGAGGAGGAGGACGAGGACGAATGCATAATATTCAATGGCGTGTGCATTGATATCCCCGTTCGGATAGAAGGACCGCCCCCATCCGTGTAACTATTGAGCGAGTGCACTCTTCTGGTCACCAGCTTCGACGACGTCAGGAGCGAGAGGCCCAATTTGAAAAGGACCCATCCTACATATGTGGAAACATCTGGTTTGTTAGTTCAAGGAGATCTCAAGCAACAGCTCCACTTCAAAAGAAAGCGTCCTCCATCCCTGTAGCTGTTGTAACCTTGCTGGACGAGTGTACGCGCCGCTATCACGAGAGGCACAATTGCAAACATATCCGCCCTCCACCTTTGTAGTTGCTGCAAGAATTTAGAACGAACGTGCGCGGCGCTTGGGCGAGAACACCTCTTTGCTTTGTAACAGGTGCGACATCTCCATGACGAAAGTGAAAGAACTCAGTGCTGACAACAGCCTGCGGCCCACCCGTCTATATGATGCGAGCTTCACGCTCAAATCGTACACGAGGTGAAGACAACTCAGGCGATGCGCCCGACCCGCCTTGCCAGAACGCCAGGGGAGGGGGCGGGGGCGCCAGAAAAAACAACACCTAGAGCCCACAACGAAGAATAGGAAGAAGGAGCAGGCGGAGGGTGATGACGATGGTGGTGATGATGATGCTGATGATGATGATGATGATGATGATGATGATGATGATCATGATGATGATGATGATGGTGATGATGAGTGTGGTAACGAGTGGAGTGGAGCAACCCAGAAGCGGACGAATCAATGTCCCCACCGCCCTAGGCCAACCGTGAGGACCATCACGGCTGGAGTCGGCGCCAGCTCGCATAAGAGGCTTACCGCGGGAAGCGCACAAAAGGCGGCGCGCGCGCCACAAAAGGCAGCAGCGCCGCGAAGCGCGGCAGACGCGCGGGGCTGCCGGCGTCTAGAGCCGATGCGCGCGACCAGCGTGCGAGGCGGCAAAAGCACAACTAACGCAGCGCAGCTAAGTTCGTTCTAACGGTTCCGAGGCCTCACGTAACGGCACGCCGCTCTCGGTCGTGCCGCCCCAGTGAGCCACCCGAAGGGCACCACGCCCTCGGGGACAACCCGCCCCCACGCACGCCACGGCGGGGGACCGTGACCGTGGCCGGAATGGGCGGGGATCCTCCAATGAGTCCCCCCCGCGCAGGGGACCCGCGACACCGCCCGAACCCTGGCGGAGTACCAGGTGGGCCACCGCAAGGGTGTCGCAGAAAAACGTGGCAGAAAACCACAACCCAGGCACGGGAACACGGAAGGCAAAGCCGTGCACTGGAACCTTGCGCTATCCCCGTCCGCCGCACGGGTGAGTCGGGAACAACCCCGAGGTCCCAAACACGACGCTTCCCCCGCGGCGCAGGCTGGGACGGCCTACTACTACTACTACTACTACTACTACTACTACTACTACTACTACTACTACTACTACTACTACTACTACTACTA